ATCTCAGCCTCATGAGTAGGTAGGATTATAGGCATGAACCACTGGCACCCGGCTTGGAGCATTCTTAACATGTTGGAATATTCTAAAATGCAGACGTGTTTGTTGGTGTTCTTGAGTGCTTTCTTCTTCCTTTCTGTCATCTGAATGGGTTACTTCTGTGACCTATCTTTGAGTTGAGACAGCCTCTTTCTTCTTCTTGGCTTATTGTTGAGGCTTTTAACTACTTTTGTGTGCCATTACTGGGGCTTAAACCAAGTGCCTGGACACTGTCCTTTTTTTTTTTTTTCTTTTTGTTCAAGGCTGGTGCTCTGTCATGAGTCACACCTCCACTTCCTGCTTTTTTTGGTGGTTAATTGGGGATAAGAGTCTCATGGACTTTCCTGCCAGGGCTGGCTTTGAGCTAAGATTCTCATTTCCGCGTAAATAAGATTATAAGCATGAGCCATTGACACTTGGCTTAACTATATTTTTAATTTGACCTTTTGAACCTTTCCGTTCCAAGATTTCTGTGTGGTTCTTTTCAAAATCTTGTCTTTGTTCAATTTCTCATTCAAATTCTACTGTCTTCCTACTTTTACTTATCTATATTCTTGTGGATCTTTTTGGCTCTTCAAAAGTCATTTATTAAAAAGCTGACGCATGAATCAAGTGGCAAAGCCCTTGCCTAGCAAGTACAAGGCCATGAGTTCAAACTTCAGAACTGCCGGAAAACCAAACAGTAACAGTTGTCAAGCATTCCACTCATTTCTCTTTCTTTGGGATCTGTTACTTGTTAGGTGCCTTTTGGAGGTGCCATGTTTCTATGTGCTCAGCTGGCAGAGTAGCTAGAGATACCACGTTCCAAGGCTGTCCTTATCAGTAATCCACTTACTCCTGGTGATCTATCTTAGGATGCCGGTTCCTTAGGAAATGTCAGCTTTGCTTCTACCTGGGTGCTATCATGTAGTCTGCCTGTAGCAGATTTGGGTAGTAGGTATACCATGGTAGAGTCAGAAAGACCCACCATGTTTGTGAGCCATGAAAGAGTGGATACAGTCTAGCAGGCCAGGCAGCTATGGTAAGCAAAGCAGTGGATATGGGTACATCTCACTGTAAGAGGTTGCCTCTATTGACCAATGCAGATTTTATCTGACACTATTAACCCAAACTCTGCTGCTAGCCAGACTCTCTGGTCATGGCAGCCTCAACAACGGCAGCATCAAGGGGCCTAAAAGTCCAGCTAGTCAGTGCTGTGCCAGATGCTGTATAGGGAAAGGAATTGGTGAGGGGCCACAGAACCCACGTGTGGCCCTCAGACCCAATGGCTGCACCAGGGCGGCTGCCTGGTGAGCAGTGGGTGGCCCTTCAGCACAGGGCCTGCTGCAGGCCAAACATATATGTGGAACAGCCCCAAATGAAACTCTGACTCAAATATTTCCTAGAAAATCCATGTTCCAAAGTTAGTTCAGGCTACATAAAGCATAACTCTGGGTATAATTTACACAGAAGCAAATACATGTTGTCTCAGTACCTAACTAGTCACTAGTAAATAGCTGACCTAAATTCCTTAAAAATGCAAAGAAAATGCCAGCCACTGATAGCTCACACCTATGAACCCTAGCTACTCAGGAGGCTGCGATCTGAGGATCATAGTTCAAAGCCAGCTCAGACAGGAAAGTCATTGAGACTCTCATCTCTAATTCACCAGAAAAATATGAAGGTAGAGGTGTGGCTCAAGGGGTAGAGCACCAGTCTTGACCAAAAAAAAAAAAAAAAAGAGCCAACCAAGAATGTGAGGCCCTGAGTTCAAGCCTCAGTACTAGCACAAAAACAGACAACGCACAAAGACAAATAGAACTGATCACAATATTGTTTGTAAAAATGAATTTATTAAAACTCTCATAATTATAAAAGAATATTAAAATGCATAGAAATTAACAAACATTAATTACAAACTTTACATTGTATGCCACAGTGTTTGGAAAGCATGCTAACTAGTTAACGTCTACCTTAAACTGCTCAGATGTTTAACTTTTCAAACCAAATATAATATGAACATAAGGAAATGGTACAAGAAATGTCCTTTCACCCACAGATCACATTCTGTCCCCCCCTACTGGGAACTAATGTTCTATTAAAATTCAAGATGCAAAAGCATTTAAAGGGGGAAGAGTTTAGTGATGAACATTTTGCAGGATGTCCTCATCGAGTGACAAAACAACCAAAAGAATGATGGCTTTCTATTTCTAATAATAGATCTAAAATATCTGAGGGACATTTAAAAGAAAAATCCCCTGAGTGTGTGGTCTAATGCTTCAATCGATTAAAATTCACAGGCATTATGAAAGGATACAAAGCTACAATTTCTCTAGTGGTTAACATTAGACATGTCAAAGGCCAGGATCCTTCCTTTGTTGGTACATTGGGACACCCACTGTTTTCCTGGGGTGTGTGGGGGGGGCTGTCCCTGTTCCTATTTATAGATGCAGCCTGTTCACTGTCTGCAGAAATGGTCCCACCTCCCCACACCCTCTGTGTTTCTCTATCACCCACATGTCCCCACTGGACTCAGATGAGCTCTGATGAGCTGACGGGCAACTCAAGAGTCTCGACAGTGTTTTAGCCCTTTGGGGGCATAATTGGCAGTGTCCGATGTTACATTTGCTGCCTTTTAGAAATGTATATTTTTATCCTCCCATCCACAGCAGCACATTTTAAACTCTGAAGGTCCTCACAGGTGGGGCTTATGAACACAGAAATGCACATTTCTTTGGAAATCATTTCATCTATACAAGTAGATAAGGTTAAAAAAAAAAGTGTCCCTTTCTTGGGTGTCATACATAGCCAATAACTGCCTAAACAAGTGCAAAGGTTGTCACACACTTTGGGAGAAGAGGTAACAAGAGACGAATCATCTCATAGAGGGTGAGGAGAGGGAGGAGAGGGACAATGGAGGCCCCAGAGGCTGTGAGAATGACAAGAGTCCCTCTAGGGAAACCATCTTCCTTACATCCCAGTCTGTCTGGACTCCATGTGGCTTACTATGGCTCTCCCTCATTGTACCATTAATATACATTAGCCAGGAAGATGGAGAAATGGTTTCCCTGACCCACTGGGACAACTCAAAAGTCTAGAACACCAAACACCTTAAAACAATTGGGCACTGGTGGTTCACACCTATCATCATAGCCACTTAGGAAACAGATCTGAGAATTAGGGTTCGAAGCCAGCACAGGAAGGATAGTGTGTGAGACTCTTATTTCCAATGAACCTTCAAAAAGTTGGAAGTGGAAATACAGCTCACACGGTAAAGCACCAGCGTTGAGCAAAAAGCGAAAATACAGTGCCCAGGCCCTAAGTTGAAGCCCCAGTACTGGCTAAAACTAAACTTAAACTAAAAACCTTTACAGGAGGGCAGCTAAGACTGTGATATGGCACAAAGCTACTTTATTTTACAATAAGCCTGTAGAATTCAATTGCTAGAACCATTTCTGGTGCTGCTGGGATTCTGCTCCTTTGGTCCAGTCTGGGGCACCTAGGCATTGAACAGCGACCCAGTGGGTAGACAGGCTCATGCAGTCTGATCATGACACAAGTCATATTCAGGTCCGTAAGTCGTAAACCACAAAAAGACTGCTAGGCTGAGCAACACTGGGGGCAACAAAGGCATCATGGTGTAGCAGGATGTGAAGGCCAGAGGAAGAAAGGACTTGTGACCAAATCCACCTGATGGGCCCTAGAGGCTAGGAGCTCACATCCCATGCACTCTTTCCTTTCTTGATTAACAGAAATAGATTCTTGTCTCAAGTACATCAGAAATGAATTACTGGGCTCAGAATAAGGGGATGGGCGGGGCAAGGAAGCCACGTGCACTGTGGCAGGTGCTTTGGTATGTTGTGTTGCTTTGGCATACAGAAAAGTTACACGAGATTCCTGACTCTTACAGTGAGGGGATCCTGACTCTACATGGCCATGCACACAGCATGGTCAGGCCACATGGCTATGGAGTGATGTGTTTGGGAAGGCGCTTAGTGATTTGTAATAACGTTCCTCCTGTATCGCCTAGAACATTAAGTCAACAACTGGTAGTCAGGCACTGGTGGCTCATACCTGTAATCCCAGCTACTCAGGAGGCTGAGATCTGAGGATCATAGTTCAAAGCCAGCCTGGGCAGGAAAGTCATGAGACCTCTCCAATTAATCAGCAAAAAGCCAGAAGTAGACTTGTGGCTCAAGGGATAAGAGTACTAGCCTTGAGAGGAAAAGCTATAAGGGATAGGTGCCCAGGCCTGAGTTCAAATCTCAGTACTGGCACCAAAAAAAAAAAAAAAGTCAACTCGTAGACACCTGATAGATAAGCCTATTTTAAACAGTTACATTGATTAGAAAATGAAATTGTAATCAATTGATTAGCATTTTTCTACCCCAAGAAAGTACATATATTTAGGAGAGAAATTAAGGATCCAGATCAATGTAAGCTACAGTTCTGGATGAGTGCAAATTGCCGGACTTTTGTCATCTGGTTGCTTTGAAATCTTCAGAGCAGTCAACATTGATTAGACACAGAGCATCAGAGCAATGCTCAGAAAGAAGACATGAGTGTCAGTTGGGCCTCAAAACCTTGCCATTCCCATCCACGGTGAGTATTTTCCCAAGACGGAAAGGCAGGCCTAAAGGAAGACCAAAATACTTTTCTTCTTAAATGAGGTTTCCTTTCTGTCAAGATTTGGTAATACACTTCCGTATTATGAAATCTTGAGTCTACGTGCCACCTGACAGAGGATTTGAACTCAATTCTGAGTTAGCTATTTTTAATCACATGAAAGCTATCAAGGCAGGAGCATGTGTAGTCTTTAATAATGATGGCACTGGAAGGAAAAGATAACTCAGGACCTGATTTGGCAAAGTGAGGAAACGAGACCTGATCTGAAAAATAAAAGGAGATCGTGCACTTGGAAGACAAAATAATAGAAGTAATCAACTAGGAAAAATAATCCTTTCTGCTTTAAAGGGGCATTTTTGTGTTATTGATTTAAAAACAAAAACCCAAAAGCAAAAAATAGGGGTAATAGATTCAGGTTTTCCAGGTGATTCGTTTTTATGCTACTTCTAGATCTAAGCTTTTACATTTTTCCAGTTCCTGCCTGGATAGCTGAAACAGAAATCTAGGAGTTACATGAAACGGGCAACAGTCTTCATATTTGCCAAAGTGATGGAACTCACGCCCGGTCATTAGTGATTGGCTCATCATACACTGCGAGAAGAACCAATGGCATCCCTTAATGTGCGAGAAGAACCAATGGCATCCCTTAATGTGGCTCTTGGCATAAGCCTCTCATTCTGATTTGGGCCGAATATTGTTATCGACGGCCCCTGCTATCCTCTCAGCGATGGCGCCAATGTCCTTCGTCAGGTCTCTTATGTGACTCTCGTGAAGCAGCTTTTGGGTCAGGTATTTCTCTCTCTTGATCTTGCTCCTGGTGCTTTTGGACACGTCTGGAATGGCGTAGGAAATGAAGAATTTCACAGAGTAGATGAGGTGCTGTGGGAAAGAAGGAGAATGTCAGGTACCAAGGAGACGGGAACCCTGATTTTAATTGATTTTCTCATTTTCCAGCCTATGAATGGGTACTTGTTAGGTGGTGTGTAGGAAAGAACGTCCCATTAGAGCTGAGTGTTATGCTTGTTTTTATTTTTATATTTAAGTAGTTGTTCAAAAGGGCTGCCATTTAACAAAGCAGTTTATCTTGATCATTGTCACCTTGGCAATGTTCTCACCCATTAGTTATAAATACTGAAGGAAGCACCCGCCAGTGGCTCATGCCTGTAATCCCAGCTACTCACGAGTCTGAGAACTGAGATTCAAAACCAGCCTGGGCAGAAAAATCTGTGAGACTCTTATCCCCAACCTTCAAAAAGCTGAATGATGGCTAGAGTGATTGAACATCAGCCTTGAGTGAAAAGGCTAAGGGACAGTGTCTAGGCCCTGAGTTCAAACCCTAGTCCCAACCCCCAAAAGATAAAATGGAATGCCTCATGACCCTAGCATTGTGTGTATGTGAATTTGAGGTTCACCTGGGCTACATACACAGAAGACCGTGTCAACAAAACAAAACTCAAATGATAAAGCGAATGCCACAAATCCTCCATTAAATGAAAAAGACCAGCACTGACAATGCTGGTGTATTTTGTGTTCTTTTCCTAAGACCCTGCCACTTGCCCAAAGGTAAATGCTATTCTATTTGCATCCTAAATACATCATTCTCATATTTAAAAGTATATCTCACATTTAAAAGTATAATACAGTATTGAGTTTTTTTTTAACACCAGTGTGGTACTTTTGAAAATGGCTTTTTGTTCTATTCAAAATTAGTTTCCAAAATCCATCAATCATGTTGTACATAGCCAGTCCATTTCTCGCTAATTTATACTATTTTACTGTGTGACATGCGGTCATTCGTTTGTCCTCTCATCAACAAGCATGTAGTTTCTCAAGAGCAAAGAACATGGAAGTGGCACTGATAACACTCCTGGTCACAGGAAGATCTGGCTGCACAGTATTTATCAAGGAAGTTGACCCAGCCTTATATTCTCACCAGCAATGAAATGGGCCAGTCTCAACTGCTGTCCATCCTGTCAGCGCTTGGTAACACCAGACATTTTTACTAGCCAACTGGATTAGGAAATGGACATTAACTTTGCTATTACTTCACTTTGCATCAGTACTAGGACTTGAACTTGAGGCCTTCAAGCTCTCCCTTTTTTCTCTCCAGGTTGGTGCATTACCGCTTGAGGCACAGCTCCACTTCTGGCTTTTTGCTGGTTTAATTAGCGATAAGAGTTTCATAGACTGTCTTGCCCTCAGCTGGCTTTGAACTGTGATCCTCAGATCTCAGCCTCCTAAGCAGTTAGGACTGCAGGTGTGAGCTACTGACACCTCCCTAGCTTGGGGCATGTCTCTAAAAGGGATATCAAGACCCTGTCCTCCCCATCCTCCACCTCCCCCCC